AGCTCCTTGACAGCAGGGATTATTTTTGTTTTGTTCTGTTTTACCATTCTTTGTTTCCCCAGGGCTTAGTACAGTACTAACACACAAGTATTTAATAACTGTTTATTGATTGGCTGGTTGTTGGACATCCTTTCTGTCCTTGGTGGGGTACTCAAGAAGTTCCCCATAGGCATGGTGTAGCTTCTTTGCTGATCCCTGTCCTTAACTCCCAACACAGAAACAGCTGTCAGCTGTTCTGGGGATATCCCTAGGGCACCAATGGAAAGATGGGAAATTCAACATCCTCCAGACTTTTTAAAGCTCAAGGCTTTCCTTCGGCCAGAGTGAAGGGAGAGGAATGGTAGAAAACCTAGGCAAGGCTGAAGTCAAGACCAAACCCAAGGCATCTTCTTACTGCCTCTCCCTTCTCCCAATCCCCAGATAGTTCTTTCTCAGTTTTACTGGAAAGACATGCTTGCTTCAACCTCTCAAATAACTGAATAACCCTACCACTTGTTGGAACTCCCTGGTGTTTTTATACAACAACTCAAGGGTGTGACAAAATTCATCAGCCAATTGGAATAGACTTTTTATCTAATGTCAAAGACACTTCATGCTAACTCTAAAGTCCTTTTTTGATTGAGAAATTTCTCACCTAGTGAAGGAATCAGAATTAAATTGTATAGTATGGTTTTGAACCCACCCTTACTTTGGTCAGGGGAGATATTGGTAGGGACATCTTCTGCCAGAACACATTAAAAATTATTGAAGCTTTTCTCAACTGTATTTGCACAAGCCTGTGAAAACTAAGGAAAATGGTCCTAGGATATGCCTTATGTTCTTACTAACTTCTTTTAAATTCAAAAAAAAGTCACTACCCAGAAGTCCCAAATGCTTGCTGGTACTTTCATTCTCATACTAGTCAATGTGGGTTGGTAATACTTTCCTTTGAACATATGAGACTCAAATTTCACATTTCTTATAGACATCTTCTACTATTATGAACCAGAAAAATCTGTTCAAAAGTTTTTTCTTGACACAAATATCTAAAGCCATCATATAACATCTTCATGCATATATAACAAAATTCCTTGGAAAATACCAGATGCTTATTAGTATCATATATGGGATTAGTCAGAGACCAGTATATTACTCCATTAATTGTATAATCATATTGCCATTGTCTCAACAACAAGGTACCCTTCCATGGAAGGAAGCTTTAGTCCCTGAGGATTAAACTCTTTATTCATATCTCATATCACCCTTAAAATGTAGAGGCTTTGCCAGTCATCCAAGGATTGATGATGTGGTCTAGCTCCCTCAGTATTAACCTTTGTCTCTTGGAAATCACAGTAGTTTTGGTGCTATGTAACATCTGTATCTATGTTACTTTTCCTTGGCTGGTAGCACACAATGCACTTATGGTTAAATAGTACTGCTACTCAACTCCAACAAGCAGCATATAACTTTGTGCTTGCCAAAATAAGTAAGTGGAAGATTTTCTATCCCTATTCTCAAAAAGCTCACACTATTCACAAATCAATACAATACTAATTACAAAGTAACTAAGAAAAGTAAAAAGTGCTATGAGAGTTCAAAAGAAGAGAATTCTATTTAAAACCAAGAGATAACGTTATTTGTAATGGAAAATTTCTAGAGGTCTTACCAATAAGACTAGGGATAAAGCAAGGTTGCCCATTATCACTGCTATTTTTTGAGATTTCTAGAAATGGTAGCAATAACATAAATTGAGGGAATAAGGACAGGCAAAGAAGAAACAAAATTATCACTTTTGCAGATGATACCATGTTTCACTGAAAGAATTCTAGAGATTTGACTAAACTTAATTAGAAAAAATCATACCTTCCGTAAAGTATCAGGGTATAAAAGACAACCACCAAAAGTCATGAACTTGTCAGTACATGAACAATATAATCCAGTAAGAAGAAACTGAAAAAGAAATTTTACTCTAAGTAACTACCGAATATGAAATATTTGGGAGACTACTTACCAAACACACTGAAGAATGATATGAACATGTCTATAAGACATTCTTGAAAGAAGTAAAGGTAAATTTAAAGTAATTAGAGAAATATTAATTATTCATGTTTGGGCCTATAATATAAATTATACTTTGACCAATGAAAATCAGTTTCATTAGTATGGTCCCAGATCCCCCCTTCAGCCTCTTAATGAAATAATATTGTTAGGGTTAACTTTCTTACTTCCCGGATCCTCATTCCTCCCTCCTTTAGAAAAAGCTTCATTTTGGTGTCATACTGGTTCTTTTTCTTAAATGATATGTAAGGTCAAACCTGAGGGTTTCTGGGTGTTTGACTGGATATTCCTCCTGTGTGCTACCCACTGTAGACATGGAGGCTGCATGATAGCAGCTATTTTCTTTCTTCCTTTGTATTAGCAATGGAGTTTGTTAGAGTTATCTCTTTGTGGGATGAAACTTTTCATCTGGACTCCACAGTAATACACGAGAAATTACATATATATATATATACACACACACACACACACACACATATATATATACACACACACATATACACACACACACACACACACACACACACACATATATATACACACACACACCCCCCCCCAAGGATTTATTTTACAAACTAGTCAAAATAATAACAAAGTTCATCTGGAGGAATAAAATGTCAACAATGCAAGGGACACACAAAAAAAGGTCAGAATAAAGTGTGCCTAGAATACATCTCAAAATATACTATAAAGCAATGATCATCTAAAGTTGATCACATTGGAACATATCTACAAGATGCAGGAGCAATTGAACATAATATTACTGTGCTTACGAACAGGTAATTTTCTTTTTCTTTTTAGGCAATTGGGGTTAAGTGACTTGCCCAGGGTCACACAGGTAGGAAGTGCCAAGTGTGTGGTCTGAGGCCAGATTTGAACTCAGGTCCTCCTGATTTCAGGGCTGGTGCTCTATCCACTGTGTCACCTAGCTGCCCCTCTAAACAGGTAACTTTCAAAAGAAGAAATGAAACCGATCAACAACCATGTGAGGGAAAAAAATGCTCCAAATCAACAATGTTCATAGAAATGCAAATTCAGACAACTCAAAGGTTTTACCTCACACTCATCAAATTGGCAAATATGACTAAAAAAAGAAGATAATTATTGTTAGGGATATGGAGGACAGGCAAGCTAATGTACTGCTAATGGAGATGGTAAAACTATTAAGAACTATACTTTCAAGTCTCTAAACTTTGTGTCTTTTGCCCAGCTATATGATTAGGAGGCATATACACCAAAGAGGTAAAAAACAGAGTAAAAGAACTCATGTACAAAAATTTTAGAGCAGCATTTTTGTTACAGCAAATAATAGGAAAAGAGGTACTCATTAACTGAGGACTGTATGGATAATTTATGGTATATTAATGTAATTGAATATTATTACACTAGAAAGGATGAAAGGGACAGACTCAGAGAAGCCTGGGAAAATTTGTATGACCTGATACTGAGAAGGGAACAAACTCCAATCAGTGCTACGACCAATCATGACTTCAGAAGACTGATTATGAATCATGTTTCTCATCTCTTACCAGTAAGGTGATGGATTGTATGTGAAGATAAATTTCTGAACTTAGCCAATAATAGGTGTTTTTTGTTTTTCTTTTTTGCTTAACTATATTTATTTGTTTTAAGGGAAAGCTTTCATTCTGGATAGGATGAGAGAAAGAAAAGACTGACAATGTTAAACATTTAAAATAATCACAGAATAAAGCTCAGGGAAGTTTAGAAGGGCACACAGACAGGCAGGGTAGTTTTGTTTCTATGAGTTAAATATAATGTGCACCTTAATAAATAAAATGGATATAATACTTTATAATTTCTGATATAATACTCTTTTTTGTATATTGAAATATTTGCTGATGTTTAAATTTATAATAAAAGAAAGAAAAAAATTTTAAAGCACAGCCAAAGTTTTACTTCTTGAAGAGTTTATAAAGTAAATGGAGAAATGCAATAATCTGAATATATACCCAGCTTAAGTACATATTTTATAGTGTAAGGAGAGTTTAATTTGGAGTCAACACAAGAGTTCAAGTTCAGACTCTGAACTAGCCTAGTGAGCATGGAGAAGTCCCTTAATCACTCAGCCTCAGTTTTCTCATATGTGAAATGGGACTAATAGCAAGCACTTGCACTCCTTACTTCACAATCCTGTTAAAAAGAACATGGTATTAATAGGAACCATTATTCAGTCTAAAAGCACCCGCATTTACACTTCGGAAACCAACACATTTGCAGAACTTGAGAGCTCGAAGGCACCATAAAGGCCATCTATTTCAACCCAAAGGTGAAAGAACTCTCCCCTGTAACACTTCAAATTGCTTCTACTTGAAGATCTCCAAGGAGGGGTTCATATGACCTCTCAGCCCATTACACTTTTGGACAGTTGTATTTTTAGGAAGATTTTTTTAAACTGAGAGTAAGTTTAAATTGGCCTCTTTTCGACCATTGCTCCTGATTTGGCCTTTGGGGATGAAAAGAACTTAATCTTTCTTTCCCGTGATAGTCCTTCAAATACTTGAAAACAACTCTTCTGTTTTCCCCATCATCTCTTTTCCGAACTAAACATACTCAGGTTCTTTAACCCATCTTCACATAACATGTACAACAAAGCTCTTCACCATTCTAGTTGACCTCCTGTGATTACTCTCTAGCTTACCAATGTCTTTCTAAAACTAAAACTGATCACAATACTTTAATTGCTACCTTCAGTTAAATCTCAAGCAGGTTTTTGGATAGCAGAGATTTGTTAAGACGTACCTTATTAGGGTCTGCTATAACAAGCACTAACGTCCCCAGCACTAGCATCTCTCGTCCTGTTCATGCATACTCCCCTCCCCCACTCTCCTTCCCCATGTATAGATAGCGACCCAGAAAGGAGGAGGGGAGAGAGGCAGGAAGATAAGGAAAAACTCTGTGAGGAATAACAGAAAGGCTGACTAGTGAATCATACAGATGGGAAGGAGGAAAACAAGAGCACGTTTACCTGCAAGTAATCCCGCCCCCTCTCTTGGTTTAGTCCAATCACTGAAGCCTATTTGGAGACAGTGAAGCACTGAGCGGTGCATTGGGGGCAGGGGAGAGGGAGCGCTGGTAAACAATAAGCCCGAGCCTGAAAAGGTGCCTTTTCCCTCCTTCTTCGTCCCTCTTTCCTCCTCCCTCCCTTCCTCCTCCTCCTCCTTCCTCTCCCTTCGTTCCATCTGCTGGGGCTGCCTCCACCTTCTGCACCACCGCCTGCAGTGGGAGCCTGGCGCTGTTGTCCCCTGGCCACCGCCCCCGGGGCATGGCATATCTGATGGCAGCTTTCTCAGTGGGCACGGCTCTGGTAAGTGAAGAAATCCTCTGCAAATAGAGTCATTGCCTTTTTTCTTTTATTTTTTTCTTGGAAAAAAAAATATCCTGTTACACTCCCTCCATCTCCTCTTTCCCCAAGTGTGGCAGCCACCGCTTTTGGGGAGCGGAGGAAGTGTTGGGGGGGAGGAGGAGTTGAAGTAGGGAGGTGGATGATGAAGTCAGGAATTGTGCATCACTGACACAAGCATCCTCTGTCCCGTTTTGGTGCCTGAGGTATTGTCTGAAGATCCTAGAAAAAGACACTGTTGTTTCAGTGTTTCAATCTTTTAAAGGGGGGCAAAACCTTTTGAACTCCCACTATCTCAGATGAGGCGCTTGTGGGAGCTGGCTTAGGAGAACTAAGTTCGGGGAAGCTGGTAGATCCAATTCCTCGGTTTATCAATGGGAAACTTTTCCAGCAGGGCTTTAGTGATAGTGACTATTGGTAGTGACTTTCCTCCAAATTGTCTCTTTGCTCTGGGAAATGTCGCTTCAAAACTGAACAGAACCCTTTCCTCCCCTCTGGCTATTCCAAGATATCATCTTCCCCTCTTCCCCCCAGACCTAATGGGGCTAAAAACAGTGATATCTACTGGGAATCAGTGGTAGGGAAGCCAGGGAAAACCTTAATTCCTGCCAGGAACCTTTTTTTTTTTTTGCAGGTAAACTTTGGACATCCTATATTTTAAAAAGAAGAAAGCTTTTATGTTTCTCACAAAGCATATCAGATAAAGAATTCGGCAAGGTTGGGAAGGCTTTCATTTTAATGAGGTGCTAGGTTTTAGAAGGACAAGAAACTGAGTTGTACTCAATGTTTTCCAATTGCAGTGATCAAAGAAAGCATCCTCTCAGCCATCTTCCCTTACCTCCATTTCTTTTAATGCACACATACTAAAAGGGGGGAGGGGGGAACGTGTGTGTATGGTAATAGACAAACTTCCATAATAAAGTCTTTCTATAATTAACACATAAATATTTTCTCATGATCTGAATTTCAACTCAGGTAGACTATGTATAGAAATAACCCCATCTCAATAAATTACTTCTCTCTTCCCCCTCTCACCACATCTTGACAAAGGCTTCATAGATACAGGTTTATTAGCCAATGGTGACAACACCCACCCATTTTTCTTTCTCCTCTTTTATGTTTTTTTCCCCCATCTATAACATCCTGAATTTGAAGTCAGCTGTACTCTGCAGGATTTGACCTACAGTTACCTCTTGCTCTGAGCTCATGGGGATTAAAAAAAAAGGCTTATTTTCTGAGCATGCTCTGTTTTGCACTATTACCTCCTGTGATTCCAAACAGGTTTACTGTGAAGTAACGCCTAAGGTTGTTAGCTCAATATAGAATAGATTTGGTGTAAGGCTGATGAAATGGAGTACAGAGATATTTGGTTAGAAACTTAAGGAAATCAAAAGCTTTCAGGAGATATGTCCAGGTGCATCTTTTCATTTTCTACCAGCTGTTTCCTTTTGTAATTCTTCACCATGCTCCCAAGAACCTCATCCTCTTGCAAAATCATTGGAGTTTTGGTACTCACACCTTATCAGTACTCTCTATTCCTGGCACCCCTCTGAGTGGAGAATTCCGTTCAAAACCTCTATTTAAAGAGGGCATCTAGGTCATCCACCTATTCTTGTCCCACCAAGCTGTGCTGCTTTGGACCCCACTCTGGGTACCCTTCTCTTTCCTCTCCCTCCCTCTTCCTCTCTTTTCAGCTTCCTTTTGTGTGTTCTGCCCTTTCCTCATTCTTATAGACACCTTGAAGGTTGAGACTACCTTTAGTTTCCTCTATGTATCCCTAGCATGTAACATAGTTCCTAGCTCACAGTAGGTGCTTAATAAATGATTGATTGACTGTGCATTTATTGTTCTAGTTTGTTGTTATGAAAAATCCAAATGCCCTCAAAGTTAAACTTTCAAACCAAGCCACATGAAATTTAGTTCTATCTAGTTGAATGCTTGGATAAACACTCCTTTAAGATTCCTTGTCTCTGTATTTTTTTCATTTTGTGGATTCCTAAATCAGTTATTTAATAGAAGCATCAAGTAACTTGTTTCTTGTTTGTGCATAATTAACTTTCAAAACATTTAAATTAAGAGGTTCTTGCGGTGTTTTAACAGCCCCCAAAGTTGGTATTCAGTTGTAAAAAAATATTGAATTGGAAGTTATTATTTTTAGGTGTAGATATGTGTATGTACACACATACACAGACACATAAAGAGGAAGGAAAAAAGTTTAACAAAACCAGTCAACACATTGAAAAAGTCTGATGTTACATGATTTATATATATATATGTATTTTATATATATACATATATGAGTATGTATGTGTATATACATATACATATATACATATGTGTATATATGTATATATATGTATTTTATATATATACATATATGAGTATGTATGTGTATATACATATACATATATACATATGTGTATATATGTGTGTGTCTATATATATGTATATATATATATTCCACAATCATGGATCCTTACTTTACCAAAGGTATAGGAAAGCTTTCTCATAGCTCTTCTTTGGAGACAAATTTATTTATTAGAATTCCACAACATTCAGTTTTAATAGTTTTGTTGTTGTTGTTGTTGTTTTAACATTTGCCTTGTTTTTGGGTATATTACTTTCCTACGTCTGCTTATTTCTTCATCTTATAAACTGTTCTGTACTTCTTCATATTTTTTACACCCATTGTTTCTTACAACATGCAATTTCCAAAATGGTAATGGATTTTACATTACATTTTTGGATTATATCCATTACATTTATATGCCATATTTTAACCATTATTCAATCAATGGGCATTAGTTTTTTTCTAGTTTTTTTCTTCCACACAAAAGGTGCTGCTATAAAAATTTTTGAGGTATGTGGAGCTTTTCTTTTTGTCATTGACCTCCAGCAGAGGGTCTGGGCAAATGAGTATGGACATTTTATTAATCACTTTATTTGAATATTTCAGATTGCTTTCCAGAATGATTGTATCAATTGATATCTCTGCCAGCAATATGTTAATGTACCTGTCTTTTAACATTAACTATTCTTGTTTTTACTAACTTTTCTAATTATCTGAGCACGAGATAAAGCCTCAGGGTTATTTTGATTTTGATTTTTGTTATTGTTAGTTTTTTGGAGCATCTTATTATATAGTTTTTTAAATAGTTTACAATTCTTTTGAGAACTATTTATTCATACACATCTCTAATAGAGAACGGCTTTTGGATAGATATAGATGTATGAATGCATATATATTTACACATATACATGTATGTGTGTATCTTGGATTCTGGGCCCTTTTCACAGATATTTGACATTAAGATTTTTTCACCAATAAACTGTTCTTCTTTTTATCCTAGATGCATTAATATTCTTGATGCAAAATTTTTTTTCAGTATTATGTAATTAAAATTATCCACTTTATCTTTAGTAATCATCTCTTTCTTTATTTGGTTAAGAAATTGCTGCCTACCCAGAATTGTGAAAAGTGTATGATCTGCTACTCTTCTTGTTTTTATGCTGTAGTCTTTAAAATTCAGATCTCATACCTATTTTGATTTTATTATATAGTGTCATGTTCAAGGAACACCAATTTCAAGGAACTTTCTAGGGAAATTGTAAAAAGACTAGAAAAATTGGAAGGGTCCAGGCTGTGAAAAGCTTTAAATGACAAACAGAGGAGCTCATAGTCGATCCTGGAGGCAAGAAGGAGTCACCAAAGCTCATTGAGCAGGAATATGACTTGATTTAACCTATGCACTAGAAAAAGGAGACCAATTAGAAGGCTATGGCAACAGTCCAAGCAAGGTGTGATGAGGGCCTGAACCCGTTGAACTAGGATAGTGGCTACATAATTTGAGACAAAGGTGTGGGTGTGTGTATTTACATTCACATATTTATATAAGATTATGATCTGGCTGCCTAGAGATTGGTGGTGCCCTTGACAATAACAGGAAAGTTGGGAAGAGGGAAAAGGTAGGAGAGCCTGGGGGAAAACATGAATTCTATTTTAGACATGTTGAGTTTGAGATGCTTACAGAACATACAGGACATTCAGTTCAAAATTTCCAATAAGCAGTTGGTGGTGCAGGATCGTAGCTCAGGTGAGAGGCTAGGTCTGGATAAAAGATAATAATTGAACCCATGATGAGATTACCAAGTGAGATGTTTGTTGTTGTTGAGTGTTTTCAGTCATATCCAACTCTCTGTGACCCAATTAGGGGTTTTCTTGGTAAAGATACTAGAGTGGTTTGCCATTTCTTTCTCCAGGTCATTTTGGGAATTGAGGCAAACATATAGAACAAAAAGTGAAGAGGGTCTAGGCCAGAGCCCTAGGGGCTCTGTGGGTATGGCACTGATGAAGAAAAATTAAAGAAGACTGAGGAGGTACTGGAGGGATAGGAAGAGAAGTAGGAGTAGTGCCACATAGGGAAGAGTGTTCAGGAGCAAAAGGTGCTTAACACTTTCAAAGGCTGAGGATTGAGAAAAGGCTATTTGACTTGGTAATTTAAAGGTCATTGGTAATATGGTGATGGCAGTTGCAGTTGAATGTTGAAGTCAGAAGATAGATTGCATGGAGGGTTAAGAAAAGAATGAAAGCAGAGGAAATAGCGGCACAACGAAAATGGCTTTCTCAAAGATTTTAGCCAGGAAGCAGAGGAGAGATATAAGATAACTAGCAGAGACGGAAGGATCAAACACACACACACATTGTTGGAGGAAACATTGAAGTTTTTGTAGGCATCAGGAAAGGAATCAATAGATAAGGAAAGACTGAAGATAAGAGAATGGCAATGATAGAGGGGATGATTTGCTGGAGAAGATTCAAGAAGAAAGGATAAAAAATGAATCTAGAGGAGTTGACCTGGACTTAATCTGAGACTGAAGTGAAGGAAAGGGGGAAAATATTTGAATGATATGAAATGAGAAGGGGGAACTCTTGATGAATATCCTCATTTAAATTTTTTTTCTTGTGTGCTTGTGTATGTGAGTGTTGTGTATGTGTGGCAAGGTTCTCAGCTGAGATGGTGTGGGAGGGAACACTGAGAGTCTTGGAAAGAGAAGAAAAGGCTTGGGACAGCAGCTGTGGAAGGCACATCAAATCAATCAAGGAAGAATGTTTGCCTTCCTGCACAGGGGGTTCATTTGAATATTGTTATTATTTTGTCTAAGTCTGTAAAGTATCCCTTTGGTAGTTTCTTATAGCTCTAAAATCTACAAATTAACTTTGGTAGTATCATCATTTTTACTACATAGGTACAGCCCAGTCATGAGCAATGAATATACTTCTAACTATTTATGTTCCACACTTGTTTAATGAGTGTTTTCATATGGTACCTACCATATAGGTATTATGCTTTTCTAGATAGACTCCTTGATCCTTTATGTATTTTGTTATTTTGAATGGAACTACTATTCCTTCCTATTATTGTATCCTATATTTTTTTATTGTTATGTAGAAATAATTTTGAGTTTGTTTGTTTTTTTGTAGGCAATGTGGTTAAGTGACTTGCCCAGGGTCACACAGCTAGTAAATGTCAAGTGTCTGAGGCCGGATTTGAACTCCTCGCCTCCTGATTTGATCGCTGGTGCTCTATCTACCTCACCACCTAGGTGACCCAATAATTTTGAGTTTTGTGGGTCAAATTTATAGCTTTCAGTTCTCCTGAAGCTATTGTCTCATTTACTTTATTTGCTGTGATTTTCTTAAAATGCAGGTCTGGTCATGTCACCCTCCTACTTCATAATCTCCAGTGGGTTTCTATTGCCTTCAGGAGCAAATACAAAATGCTCCTTTGCATTCAAAGCCTTTCTTAACCCAGTACCCTCCTACCTTTCCAGTCTTTTATAGGTTACTTTCCATCATCTACTCTTTGATCCAGTGACACTGGTCTCTCCTAGCTATTCTTTAAACAAGAAACTCTATCATGCTGCTTTGGGCATTTTCTCTGGGTCTTCTACATGCCTGGAATGCTCTCTCTCCTCTGCTATGACTTCCTTGGTTTCCTTTATGTCCCTATTAAAATCCTACATTCTACAGGAAAAACTTCCCTAACTCGTCTTTTAATTCAGGTGCTTTCCTTCTTAATTATTTCCTAGTCATCATTATACATATATATACGTGTGTGTGTGTGTGTGTGTGTGTGTGTATCTTGCATCTCCTCCTTTAGATTGTAAGCTTCTTGAGGGCAGGGATTGTATTTGGTCTCTTTTTGTATCTCCAGTGCTTAGCACAGTGCCTTGCACATAGTAGGTGAGTCTCATTTTAGATAGCTCCAAAATGTGTCAAAGGTGTCTGCAACAAAATAGGCTTAGTTTTGACATTTTTTCATCTCACTTTCATATTTCTATTGTAGCCCTGCTGAATGCCATTTTATCCATACTTATTTCCCACCTTTTTTTGCTTTAAAAATTAGAAAATTTTATTTCATAATCAAAACTTAAACCCCATTTCAGAGCAAATGTTACCAAAAGTTTGTGATTTCCAATTTTAGCAAGACATATTAATGGGTCATGAAACTCCATAATGGAACAATGCTTTTTAGCTTTAAGAATTTCTAGAGGCTAATTATTCAAGTTAAGCTATTTGCCATTCTATTCCCCCCCCCCAACATTTATTTGACCAATTAAAATTGTTAAATAGAATTTGTGGTCACTTTTAGAAAATCTTTTCTCTCTGTTCTTTTTGAGTTTTTGACTGTCAACAATAATAAAAAAACCCTGCCCCTTTGAATAAACTTTTGAAAAATCTGTGATGAAACCAGTGGGATTTGAATCCTATTTTGATCAAACATCAACATAGTTTTGCCTAGCCCTAGGCTGTAGCAATATGATGGTTAACTGAATTTCTCTTTGTGAGTTATATAAGCAATTAACTTAGTATAGGAACAATTTTTTTAGCAGTATGGGAAAAAGTATACATGCTCATTTGAAGCTACCAAACTTTTAAGAAGGGTACCTTGCTTGATAAATTATGTGTACACCTTGGATTTCCTTTTACTTTGTAGTTCCTAGAATATTATTTATTCCCTTAGGACTGTTAATCCATTACAACATTATTTTTACTCTTCATCACAAAAATACTTTGGGTCCTTGATATCTAAATTATAATTAAACTATCAAAGGAAGTTTTGAAAACCAAAACTAGATTAAAAAACATAGGAATTGGAAACACCAGATGGTGGTTAAAAAGTAATTCAATCTGTGGATCCACCAGTAAATTGACTGTATAATCTCAGGCCTCTCTGTGCCTTAGTTTCCTCACCTGTAGAGAGAAAGGATGTTGTGAAGATAAAATGGGAAAATGGAGGAATCCAAAGTTAATATGATTAATATTAAGAAACTGAATGAGAGATTGTGTGAAAAGTAAGAAAAGAACTAATTGAAATATTGTTTAGATTATAATTATGTTTGCTTTATTTGCCTTAGCTATCACTTCATTTAGTCAATAATTATTTTTCAGGATGATGGTCATTGTTTTATACTTCAAAGAAAATGATTTATCATAATTATGATTTCATTTCATCATGCCCTCTAAAATTTTTGGCAATTTACCTTTTCACGTTTCAACTTTAAAAAAAATTAATCTAAAAATTATAGGAAAAAATCACCTTAAGGCCCTTTAAAAAATAAAAGCAAATACACTATTGTTTATAATAGGGTACCAGTTCCATTGGTATTTTCTTGATCTTGGTAGTTGCTAATGACAAAGACTTTGCTCTCACCCATGTAATTTACAAGATCTTATTGCCTTTTTCTTTTTTTTCCCATAGAATGCCAGCAGTTATTCTTCAGGTGTAACAGAGCCAAAGTCAGTGTGTGTCTCAGTGGATGAGGTGGTGTCAAGTAGTATGGACAGTGCAGAGACTGATCTGCTAAATGGACACATGAAAAAGGTGGACAACAGTCTGACTGAAGCACAGCGCTTCTCCTCCTTGCCTAGGAGGGCAGCAGTGAACATTGAGTTTAAGGACCTTTCCTATTCTGTCCCAGAAGGACCGTGGTGGAGGAAGAAAGGTGAGGCACGCTTATCTTTTGAAATTTAGTGAGAAGTAATAGGGGAGACAGAACATAGTGGGGAAAAAAGCATGGAATTGTAGTTGTTCGGTAAATCTGTTGAATAAAGCATTGGATGTTTCAGTGTGTTGCTTTCTAATTGGTAAAACAAGAAGGTGGAACTAGATAATCCAAAGTTCTAACTGGTCTGATTCTATAATATGTTATTGTGAAGTGTTCCAACCTTGGGAAATAAGGATGTGTCTTCAAATTTTGGTCGTAGTCAAATAACATGAAAAAGAAAACTTTGATGTTGTAAGGTTTCATTCATCTTTTATTAGACTTCTTCTTTGGGTCTGATCTTAGCACAGTTTTACTTTCTGAGCAACTACAAGTAGTTCTTTAATATTTGAAGATAATACACTTTTACTTTCTTCTTCAGGCCAGCAATTTCTTCATATATTATTCACTTAGTTTTAAAAGAGTTAATTGAGTCTATAGATTATAGGAAAAAAACTCCTTTGGCCAAAGATTTCATTGTCCTTTACCATAAGTAAACAAATTTGAATTTTATCTTCACCAAAATATACTCAAAATGTGAGATTTGGTTATATGAGCTTTTGGTGTACATGAAAGAAATATTAATTATGAAATGGGGAATTTTAATTCAAGCTAAAGAAATACAGATTTTTAAAACTCCCACCAAAATGGTAAAAAAAAATCCTTCACAATATATTTGTAAAAAATTTTACATTTTTATTAAGAAGTGATAAACTTTTTGATTAGTGAAAATGTGCATTATAATTTCCTTAATGTGACTGAATCAGGTTAAAGGGACTTTTATACATAGATTTTATGACTGCCTTTTATTTTAAAAATAAACTTCTAACACTTTTAATACCAAATAGAAGGCAAAGAAAATTTGTTTTAACTTTTTAAAAATAGCTAGTAACTTCTACTAACTGCTTGTTTATGATAGAGGTCTTTTTAAAAGTATTTTACTATTTCATGTCAGAGGACTATTAATGAATTAAATTGAATCATGTGGGTAACAACCAAAAAAAAGAGAGAGAGAGCTTTGACACTTGCTTGTCTTTGAGAAGTTGGATTGTGCATAAACTTAAGGAAGTTTGTTTGATGTTGAGGGGAATCAATGATTGATGTAAATTTTCAGTTCTCTCAGGAATGTGGTTACCCTTGTCTCTTCTTCATTTCTTAACTCCAGATTCTGGATTAACATTTTATTTTCTTCCTCCTGACCTATTTGGACTGACCACTGGCTTTCATTTTCCTATATGTCTTGCTAAATGTAGCTTTCTTAGTAAACTTTCTTTAAGATACTCTTTCCTCTGAATGAGAAAACTAATTAAGAGGAAGTTAGGACACATGTTGAAGAATGTTGTACAGGAATCTTTTCTACTAATATAAAACAAATTGACAATCTATAAAAGGCAAAAAAGGAAAAGAAGTGATTAGAACACCAGTGGAAAATTATCTTTTCATTAAGAAAGCAATTTAGTTGTAATCACAACATCTTTTTTTTTCTTTTTGAGGAGAAACAATTAAGCTTTTCTTTCCAGCTAGACAATGGGGTTAAGTGACTTGCCCAAGGTCACACAGCTAGTAAGTGTTAGGTGTCTGAGGCTGGATTTGAACTCAGGTTCTCCCAACTCCAGGGCCAGGGCTCTATCCATTGCCACCTAGCTTCCCCAAGCTTTTATTTTCTATTAACATCATTTAGTTTGCCTAGCCTTAAGAAACAGGGCAGAACTAACTTTTGCATTTGAGGAACTTGAACTTATTTAAGTAAATACTTGCTTCAAAGCATTGTGCAAAAGATGCAAAGATGAAAAATAATGTGAGCTCTACTCTCAAGGAGCTTATTAAGGTGTAATAAAGGGGATAACACATATGGAAGACTGTGGTAAGAGAAATGAAAAGAGATCCCAATACACTGTTTTGAGAATTTTGTTGAAGAACAGATTGATTTCAGCTGATTGAGGAGAATAATGAGGAGATTAGGAAATGCTTCATGAAAGAGGTGGTACCTGATCTGGGACTAGAAGAGAAATAAAGATGCGGAGGTTGTGGAAGGAACCTGTCCTATGCATAAGTGGTGGCTTGCATGATTACATTGGAGGGAAGAGGATACAGTAATACTTGGGGAGCAGCTATAACTGATTAGGCTGATTAGGCTGGCATCAAGAATGCTTGAAGGGGAACAGTGTGAAATAAAATTAGAAAAGTAGATTGAAAACAAATTGTGAAGGGCCTTGAGTGACAGGCTAAAGATTTTCAAATTTTATACTATGGAAAGTTATTCTTTGAACAGAGGGTAAAATGGCCAGAATTATACATTAGGAAAGTTATTTTGGCAGCAGTGTGAAAAAAATAAATTAGAGAGGGGAGAAAAGAGGAAGGAGAACAGTTAAGAATCTATTACAGCAGTTTAGGTAAGAGAGAATGAAGACCTGTGTTTTAGGGTGGTGGTGTGTGAATGGAGAAGAGACAAATGTGAAAGATATTTTGGAAGTAGAATCAATAGGATTGTGCAACTGAATGGGGGTTGTGGGTGAAGGATAAAGAAAAGCCAAAGATGACTAAGGTTATAATTTTTTGTAACAGGGAAGATGGTAATACTCTCAAAATAATTTATTTTGGTAAATAAATGGGTGTGTATGTCAGGGGGGAATTATGCTTTTCATTTTGAGTATTTTGAATTTTAGGAGTTATTTTTCAGAACTGCAGTTGAGGAGAGGTTATAGCTAGATATGCAGATTTAGAAATCACCTGAGCTAGGTTGAACAGCAATAATAGCTAGCATTCATTTAATTTTATCTATTATATTTGTTATATATTTAAGTGATGTGGATATTAGAAGTTAGTGAGCAGGTCAAAGGACAGAAAAAGAAGAAAGAAGAATCAGCGAAGGGTGCTGAAGTGTATGCATAGATATGATGAAAACCCAGGAGATTGTAGTGTCAAAGAAGCTATGAAAGTGGAATACATCAAGAAGGAAAGAGAAGTCAACAGCTTCATATATTGCAGAAAGGTTAGGGAGAATAAGTATTGAGAAAAGGTCATTGGATTTGGCAGTTAGAGCTTTTTGGTTAAGTCTTGGTGGATAAACTTGCTATAGTAAGTTTTCCTTTTGGATATGAATTGGACTAGATGATTGCTAAACTCTCTTCAGCTTTGAAATACTGTGTCCAGGAGAAGAGCTATATATTTTGAATGTTCACTTAGTGGAATCTTTATCTGACATTTACACTTGTGAATGATAAAAAAAAAAACTATTTAAAAAAAAAAGAAAGGGATTCTTTTACATTCAGGCCTAATATTATGACCATTTGTTTGAGTCTGTTGAAACTTTAGCATTAAATTACAGGTTTTTTTCTCTTTAATTTGAAGAAAGGGTTTTATATGAAAGGAAGAAAATGATTGAAAAGTTCACTGGAAATGCCAAGAGACTTTTGCTATGCTTGGTTATAAATCATATTTAAAATAGATCATTAGACCTTTGGCCTTGATCAGGGGTGGGGAACCTATGTCCTTGAAGCCTCATGTGGTCTTCTAGGTCATTGAGTGTGGCCTTTTGACTGAGTCCAAGTTTTACAGAACAAATCTTTTTATTAAGAGGATTTGTTCTGTGAAATTTAGATGCAAAGGGCTGTACTTGAGGACCTAGAGAGCTATATGTGGCCTTAAGACCAAAGGTTCCCCACCCCTGGCCTAAATAATATTTCTTATCAGCCTATTACTTGCACCTGTAAAAACTTGGCCTGTTGCCCAGGTTTTAGTATAATTAGAAATATTTAGGTCATTAACACCATGTGCAATAAATATAGTTATCAATAAACTAACCATTTTGGGGAAAGTATACTTTGTAAAAGAATTTGGAAGTATCTATGTCAAAATATATTTTTCCATCAGTAAATTAGGGGGAAAAAAGTGTCAATAAATTGGAGAATTAATTTATACTCCCCTAACTAAAATAAAAGTGAATGTAATCCCCAACCCAGAAGTTTAAACATTTAGAATCTGTGGGCAGAATCTCATTTTGAATCTGATTTCCAGTTGGGCATGTTAATTTTTTAAATAAATTTTAATACTAGACATTAAACATTTTTAACAAGTACTTACATTTTTATCTAATCAGTGACTGACTATAATTGTTGACATTTGAAGAACCATCAGGACTGGTCATTCTACACAGTTTGACTCTTATTTTTTCCTTTTCAGTGCTCATTTCAGGTGCCTTGTACTCTGTAAGATATCCAGATTCCACCTGAAGCTCGAAGTGAACCTTTCCTCCTTCAATTTCTTAGCATGCTCTATAGGAGTCCTCCTAGTCACTTAATCTTGTTCTGACCTCTGTTAGAGGAGTATGGGATAGCGGACAGAACCCTGAATTTGGAGCAGGAGGCTTGACTTTGTCATAGTCGCCTCATCTCTCCAGAATCACAGGTTCACAGGGTAAGATCTGGATGTCAAAACTCCTCATTTTACTGATGAGGAAATAAGGCCCAAAAGGATTATGTGACTTGGCCAAGGTCACACCAGGTCAACTATGAAAAGTGAGTGGGGTTCTTAGCTCCTTAATGACCTCTAAGAAGCAGAAGATCAGGAAAATTACCCGGGTGTCCTAGGACAGTGATAGAAACAGGATTTGAATCTGGCTTCTCTGACCTTAATGCCAGTGCTATTTCTATTATTTTAAGTTGCCTCTCTCTAAAGATACTTTTGATTCAAATCCTTTGTTGCTGATTTCCCTCTCTCTCTCTCTCTCTCTCTCTCTCTGTCTCGCTCTGTGTGTGTGTGTGTGTGTGTGTGTGTGTGTGTGTGTGTGTAGGTTCCATAGAGGTAGGAAAAGTAAAAAATGGATATGTTAACAAAAATTTCTTTGAAGTCAGAGAAAACAAGAAGTTATCTTAATTAGTTCAGAGCCCCAAGTGACATATCTAGGCAGCTATGTCCAAATAGTTATCAGAGATGTAACAGTCTTACCCTATTTTTGTGAT